AATTCATTTAGTGAACTGAAAATCTTAACCAAATTCTTTAGAGAGGAGGGAAAAGTAGATTTACCAGAACATAGCTTTGCAATAAAGCTGTCTTTAACTCTACATTTCATTCTCATTTTCAAACTGAAAATTAGCAACTGAATACAAATCTCACCTAGGAAATTATTCATCATGTAGAAAACCATACTAGAAAAATGGATGACACACAAGCAAATGTCAAAATGAAAGGCTCCAATTAAGCATATAACAAGTGCGTGATACATCCTCTGATTAGCTAGAATGAACAACTTTAATACCAAGCTTGCATTTACTGTATGCAAACCTACTGTTTTCAACAGTAGTACAAGCCAACAAAATGAGAAACTAATTAAGAGAAGAATGACTAAGAAGTTTAAAACAGTTTATTCAATTTTTGAGGCTTCACTTGGTCAATTTAAAACTATGATTAAAACCAAGCAAATAGTTTTCAAACCTGCTGAGTAAAAGGTCAGGTTTTTTGTTTATCTCTGTGTGATATCACCATTCTCCTTTCAGAACACCACCAGAATCTCCAAGCAACCACTTCCAGTATTGGAAACCCAAGACAATCATTTCACATGGGCAGAAAGCAGAACAATATAATTCAAAGTATACAGACCTCATTACCACTGAATTCTTAAAAGATACAACCACAAGAGAAACAGGAACACGCATAAGCTCAGCAATTTGTTCTAAGACCAAACAAAAACAAAATAATCCAAAACAAGATGTGCTGAACTCAGGATGCTGGAAGCAGGTTTTATCATTATCAAACTCAGGAAAAACCCCTACGTGGTAGCTTTGAGGTTTTACTTTGAAAAATATCACTCACAGATCTTAGCAGAGCTCTAAAGCTCAGTGGCTCAATCCAGCAATGTTTGTTTCAAGATTTTATCTTTGGTTTCTCAAATGTGTCACCCCACAGATCTTAAGCATGTTTAAATAACTAAAATGGGTCCAAGGATAAAATACAGATAGCTCTGAACCACTAGCAAGTCTCATTTCCTCCTAGATATGGCTTGTGGTTGGATTTGTTACAATAAAATGCAGACTACAGGATGACTCTTTACAGGCACATTATCACCTTGTTCTCTTCCACACCTTTCCAAAGATCTGGAAAGACAAGCTCACATTGCAGCCTTTTGATAAAATAGATGTCTTTTCTAAAGTTAAAAAAAACCAAAAACTAAAGAAGAAAACCACTTAGAAACAAAATTACAAGGAATATATCTCAATTTGGTCTGCAGTCTCACAGTCACCAGAGAAGAGGCTCTATGTACACCACCATTCACATCAACTGTGTCAGATGCCACTTGAAAAACTGATTAATCACCCCAGAATAGCCAACTTCTGACTCTACAGAGAGTTCAGACTGAAGCTGCACAAATTAAACCCACCCTGAGCTGCCAAATGGCCAATAAGAACACAAAAAATGACTAAATTACAGAAAGTACAGGATGGACTGGGAGAAAAGGAGGAAAACAGGCAGTGGGACTTCTAAAGCTTTAACTCCCTAGAAATCCATTTAGAAACTAGACAGCCTGTGCAATCCTATGGCATTGCTGCACAAATACAGACAGGTAGCCATCTCCAGGCTACCCCACTCAGGTGGAACAAGTCCAGTGCCTGGCCTGACAGCACAGGGCTAACTGCAGAGCTCTGACACATCCCTGAGCACAGGCTAAAGCCCCTCTCAGTCAGTACAAAACAGGACCCACACAACACATGAGCCCTGCCTGACTCCACCACCAGGCTGGCCTCAGGTAAAGCAGCTCTCCTCCTGCTCTCAGCAGCACAGCAAACATTGCCACATCACAGAAGCTTCCTTCTTGGAGCTCAGGTATGCTGAAGCCTGGCTAGAGCTACACAGTGCTCTGTAAGGGTCAGGTAGTAGCCTAACCTAGCACCAGGAAGGTTTACTCCTTTCAAAGAGATATGTGCAGAGTTTCTGCAGCAAGCACAAACAAAGGGAAACCAGTGGGCTCTAACATCTACACAGTTTGTTCTGAAGCCTTTTTTGCTTGTTGTTTCAAATGGACACTATCAGGTAACAAAGCCACAGTATATCCCAACTAAATTAGAAGCAAAGTTTGCTTACTCAATACTGTTTTATGCAACAACAGAGCTACTTGTATCAGAGATTACCAGCAGTAATATGAACTGAGCAGAAGTAAAATTTTAAGGAAGGGACTGACTTCATGAAGGATGGGGAGGAAGGAGACAAGTACAAACCAACCACCTATTAACTAACCAGAGAGGTTAAAATTAGTCATAATGAAAAATCAAACAATTGTCAAAGCTCCACTCACAGCGCCCACAGAACTTGTCTCCTCACAATGCAGGGATTTAGAAACAGAACAGGAAGCAGCAGTCAGATGAGACACTGGAGAATCTTGCTCTCTCCCATTTCTCCTGTGACTTGTCAATTGCACAACCCCTCATACTGATAAAGAACTTCAAAATTTACTTCTTGAAACTCACCTTGTGTGGAAGTTTAGTGAGAAGGCAAGCAAGAATTCTTTTCTCTGCTCAACTTCTTCAATCCAAACATAAGGGTACAAATCCATACTGCCTCTTACCATAACATGAACCCACTACATGCTTTGGACCTCCAGAGATTCAGTTCAACATCCACCTTCAGTGTTGCAAAGGTTAACAGGTGCTCTAAGGAAGGAAACTTGTTTTTGCTGCATTTCTACAACTGGTTTTATCTGTGCAACTCCTCCCACTGTATCCCACGTTCCTTGCTACATTTTTGTTAATTGCCAACATTAAAAGGACAGGTGTCAACATTTAAAAAATAAGCCTTTTATCTGACTGTTCTTTGTTCCATGACCTTTCCAGCCTAATCCTGAGTGCTTGAGACCCTATGCTGACATTCTGTATACAGGCATTACTCAGCAGTATTACCTACACAAAACTGAGGCAGTTTCAATTTCACAATATGAGGTGATACAAAGTTCTGCTGCTTTTAACTAATGCTGGATGAACAGGGGTATTCTATTAAACCAAAGGCTTTCTCCCCTTTCTGAAAATGTGAACAAGAAATTGACTGTGAACAAGAAACTAACTTCTGCCTTGAAATAGACAGGACTGTGGCTTTTCTGGATATTTGCCTAAATGGCCCCTGCAAAAATTTACTATGAGCAACATTCAAGAGCATCTTTAAAGAAGGCTTCAGATTGCATAAACAACCAATAGTTCAACCCAAGGCAGTAATCTAGTATGAACGAACATAATTTCTGGAGAGATACCAAATTAAAAAGGGGAATAAGAAAAATCTATGGCATAAAGTATCAATACATTTTAAATAATTCAACTCCATATTGTTACTTGCCCTGCAGAAACAGCCTGGACACACGTTATAAAATGAAAATTTAAATCTACACTGCTACTGCCATAGCTACCTGCACAAAGTGCTAACACCAGAGTGACTGAGGGACCATGGCTTGAGGGAACAGTGATCCTAGCAGCGAGTGCCCTCTCCAAACTCAGCTGGACAAGCTCCACTCTGCTGGACTGCTTTATGCCACCAACTTTGGTAGAATACTGAGTGATTTACTACACTCTTGATATCTCAGCTAATATGAAAATAATCATCATGGAGTATAAAGACTGTGGAACCATAACAGCACAGAGGTTTCTCTGCAATGACAGAGACTCCATATGGTTTATAGGGCAACACAGTATTTACATTCCATGTTAAACCACACGGGGAAAGAAACCAAAACATTGCCTGACACTCTGAGGCAAACGCCTCCAACATCTCCATATGTAAGTTAGCAGTCAACACAACACAAGGGCTCTTACAACAACAGGGTTATTCCATCAGTTTCCACACACACATCATCATTACACTCACACCTCACCAAGGGTCATACCTGGTTCCCAATAAGGACAGTGCATCTCCTTCAGACTCTGGAGTGCACCAGGAGTTGCTCTCAAATACACTGCTGAGAATGCACTGGCAACCACATCTGAGCCATGCAAGTGTCAGTGTGAGGCACAAGTAAATTAGTCCTGCTCCACAGAAGCTCATTAATGAAGCAGATTCGATCAGTACCACAGGAAACAAAAATCAAAGCAAGCAAAGCAGCACAAACAGGGTTTCAAAAAAAGCAGAATGACTCAAATTATTATCAGTAATACTAGCAGCCCAGTCAAACAGTATTTTGGGTTGATTTGGTTTCACTCTTTTACATACCAGTTGAAGGTATCTGATCATCAGAGTTCTCATTCACCTAATTAGCTGGTGGACATGCTGAAAAGAGTAGAAAGCAGTAGATAGGTAGCAGTACTTGAGCAACATTTATAAAGGAACCGAAAGCAAATGAAGGAGAAGATTACTGATCTTTTTCTCCCCCCAAGTCAAAAACTGACAAGGGTCTTTCCCCCACTCAAAAAGGAAATGCAATTTCACTACCCACAGAGGTAGTTTTAATTAGAATCTCTCAAACAGTGCAATGTCTACAGAGTTACAAGGGGGAGGAGAGATTCCTGTTTGTACATAAGATCTGATACTGTGTGACATGCATTGCAAAAATACACTACCTGCTTTGAAAGCACATACTCTGTTAGTCCAAAGTTTAAAACTTGGAGACATCATTGTTGTTTAAATCACTGATATGTACAAGTAGATGAATTCCTTCTAACCCAAAGCATAGGCCCCAATCCAGCCAAGAGCTTGATTCTTGATTTAGATTTTCCCAAAATGGACACACAAGCTCAAGTACATCACTGACTTACAGCCAAGAGTTACCACAAGATTTCCAATTTCAAGCTTTTCCTTACAAGCCAGCCAAGTTTAAAAACCATGGACTAAGACTCCATAATGCCTTCAAGTTTGAAACTACACAGACCATACCATGTAGGATCTTCTACAGCGTACACCTTTGCCCTAATCCTGCTCCAACCAAACCACTTGGAGAAATAGCTACAACCTAAAACCAGCATATTGCAAATATACACACGTGGTCCTTTACCTTTAATAACAAAGGCTTCAGTTATCAAACGCAGCATGTACAGAGGTTCCTCTTTGGTTGAAAGGTCATCAATTCCTGCTTTTGCATACATGCTGATGGCATCTCTGTAGCATCCCTCCACATAATGCAGCTTTCCTAGGATCAGCATAGCTTCTGTCATGTACTTCGGCTGAAACGGAGCAGAGAGAGAAAAAGTGTTCACAGGGTGAAACACCAGACAGGAAGAATGAAGTTCTACAGCAAATTAGGCAGGTTCAGAATGCTTTCCTCTCACAATTGCAAAGGTTAACCTCATGAGAGCAGTAGCCAATGAAGGTCAGGCAACCACCTTGGAGCTCAGATTTGAAATACAGTTTGTAAGCCAACTCTTTGGTCTCAGCTGACCTGCTCTATCGATTCACCAGCCACAGAGAGCACATAAAAGGCTGGCACTGTCAGAATTACCTACACACACTAAGAAAAACCCCTGCGTTTGAACTAGACAGTAAACATCACTTTTTAGACAAGTAAGCTCCCCTCTCCTCTGTATATTTAATTAAAGAGTGAGAAAAGTCTCAAATTTTCTTTAGTTGTCAAAGAATTTTCATGCAACAGTGAAAAAACAGAAGGCACACCTGCTATTTCTCAGACTCATTTTGTTTAAGGATTTAAAACAAATATTACAGATCCTCAGTAAAACACATCTGTTCAGACCCTCTGGAAAGCATGAAAAGGTTCCTAAGCCCTCATACCTATGTTTTAAATACATGCAATCAACACAGGGTCAATACTGCATCAGTAGCTAAGTCACCACTAGCTAAGAAACAGTAATGCCAATTCATGCAGCCAAACTAAACACAAGGAACTGGAAGAATTCAGTAGTTCTGACTGTTAATGGGGTTAAACTATAAAGAGGGTTGGACAGATTCCCCCCCCTTCCTTACTCTCTCCATTTTATGCTCTAAGAAGCCTGACCTTGCTCATTGGAAATTAACATGGTGAAAGTATAATATGCATTTCCAACTTAACTAACCTAGCCTGGCAATTTCAGGACCAGAAGTAATAGGAGTCTGGAGCAGACTGGTGTAATTCACTTACATCTAAACACAGTTATGCAACTGTGTGTCAAAGGACACCAATGCAGCAGCAGCAGCCACCAAAGCAGAGTTTTAAAACTCTCCTGAAGCTCTGCAACTGAGTCGACAAGCAGCTACTGGCCACACACCCAGATCATAAAACAAAATAAAGGCATTACTTCTCTAACAGACACCAAAGGCAGTGCAAGGCTATAGTCCTCCCAACACAACCCTAAGATCCTGACAGCAGCTTGTAGCACATTTTTCTCCAATCAGGAGCTACCAGTTGTGCAAAACTCCCTCAGATCTGGAGCAGCAGGACGTCACTCTACTGTGCTGGCCTGACAGCACCCTTGTGTGCCCACACCCCACCACTTGAGAGCAATTCTAAGTATTTATCCTGCTCCCTTCCAATTAAAAAAATAAATAAAGAGGATATGCCCTTGTAGCACATAATTTCTTTGCATATGGAAAAGCAAGTCTCACAACATAAAACCCTGCCTAGAGGAATTACCAGTCTCTTAGTATCACCTACAATACAGCACTGTATATCCATGGACACGAGCAGGCAACATCCACACCTTGTATCAGACTAATAATCACAGCAAAGAAGTATCCAGGAATTGGCAGGAATTAGGATGATAGAGCCCACTTACTCTTAGTTTCCCTCTGCTTAAGATATTGGTCAGATACTGTTTAGCTTCACCCAGTTTGGGCTCACTCTTCTCTGACAGTGGAATGGAGTCCTTCAGTTTGGCAAAATTTTCTTTCAAGCATTCCTCCAGCAGAGCCTCTGCAAGCAGCAAACTCCCATGGTCCTCTGAAAGCACACACCAGCCAACAAGAAACATTGCTTACTGCTATATTGATGATAAACAGAACTACAAAACAAAACAACACACCTTGGAGACAGACAATAAACTCAAATGAGGGGATAAGGAGGAACTCGTACACAAAAAAAAAGAAGTTCCATTTACTTTTATCTAGTGGAAACAGTACGTTTTGCATGGAAAAATGAAACAACACAGTTGTAACTTGAAGATTTTCCCTCCTTAATTCCTTAATTTTGGCAGCAACATTCCTTCTTACATTGTAACTAATATAACAGTTAAGAATTTTCATCACAAAACTCACTTTCAAAAGTGTAAAAACAAAAAGTCTGCAAACATTTCAAAGGATGCTTTTTATTTACAAAGGTACTAGCATGATATGAATGCTTTAGACTACAGAGAAGTGATAGCAGTAACTGCATCAAAAACTTCAACAATTTTCCTGAAAGAATACAGAAAAAAAATTTAAAAGATAAATTATACAGATTCTACATGTCCATTACTAAAGACACACAAGGACTGACCCCTGCTGTAATTAAAATGCCACATAAAACTCTTTCTACATTAAAATCCATCCCTGTTCACAGTTCCACAAAAGTGTACACTCAAACACAGGTAGCAGCAATGGATACAGCATGAAGCATCATGGAATGTGGCAATCATGCTGAAAAAAAAAGTTTAATCTGCCAGAGTACTCAGAGTTCTTACATGACAGGCCCATTTCTGCAGTTCATTCATAACAGCAGCACCTGCATCAGCAGACTAGTGGGTCAAGCCAGGTAAGGAAATCTTTGAATACCAAAAAGCCCAGTCCTACATTTCATATATATGTTCCATGTTTCAAAGTCTGAAGTTTGAGAATGAGAGGAACACAGTAGTGTATCCATTTTTGTATTTTCAGTCCAGGAGACACCTTATGCCCACTGTCTACCTATACACCATATAATAACTGTATGGTGGTTTAGATTTTTTTTGTTGTTGTGGCCTAAGTGTTCAGCTACATATCAAATTATAATCATAGCTCTTCCTGCTTGTTTGCAGGTCTGCAACTAAACAAAGTACAGGTACATAAAATGAGAAGTGTAAGAGTTCAAGTATATTCCCCCCCAAATTTGCATGCAGTCATTTCTACACACTAAAGTGCTTTCAGGTAGTCATTAATCCCTTAATCAAACTTAAGGAATTAGGTAAGAACATAGACAATTAAGAAATAAATATACACAACCTCACAAAGCAAATACTACTCTTAAAAAAAAAATCCCATCCAAGCACACAATCATTTCTAGAAGCACAAAACCTGCTGAAAGAAGTTCTGTAGCAGTAACAAGGCATTACTCTTTCGTAACTACCAAGTTATGATGACATGGCAGCAAATTAACAAATCATGTTTTTACAGCAATCATACTGTTGTTATACCTCTTAATTACAAGGGAAGAAACTACTGTGAACTCTTCAACTACTAATGCCCCCAAAGCTCATGGTGATCTCTGCACCTGGGAAAACACAGATGAAACCTGACTAAAGTTCAAAGGTTGGCCGTATGATTGTCAGCACAGGGTTCAACCTGTATCATGTAAACACCAGGAAAGCCTCAAAAATAAACATGTATTAAACTACCAGCATCTCTCCCATCATGGTTCCCATTGTGAAGTTTAGGGCACCCCAAAAAGCTTCAACGCTAGGGCCATATTCTGGTCGCGATCCCCTAAAGAAGGGGTTTATTCCCAGAAGCAGCTCTTCTGACTTCAGTGGCAAAACCTTTGTACCACTACCGCGGGCAGACTCAGCTCCTGTTCACAACTTACTTGCTCACCTCAGACCGAGTTAGGCTGCCTCCCTCGTTACAAAAGATTTCATTAAAAAAAAAAAGGCAGCAAATCAGTGTGTTGTAACAGGGGGAAAATACTAACATACTTGCTATTTACGAAACCTGCTTTACACGTGAAAGCCTTCCAGTAAAGCAGTGCCCCTCGGAAACAGAAAGAGGTAACACAAGGGCACCCACCCGAGAACAGCGCTGGCAGGGGCAAGAGGGAAGCAGCATGGCACGTATCGAGCAGCTGATTTGAACCTTTCCAAGCGGGGGCGGCCCGCCCGCAGCCCAAACGGGCCGGCGGCACCCGGGGCGGGCTCGGAACCGGCAGCCGCCACCTGCGCCCCTCGCTGCCCCGCGGGCTCGGCAGCGCTGACACGGAGGGGAAGCGCAGAACGATCCTTCCGAGCGCCGCTGCCTGAGCTCCGCCGCCTCTCCCAGGCATCCCTCCTGCCCGAGCGCTGCGGAGCCGGGACGCCGGCACGGGACGGCAAACGACGCCCCGCAAGCCGGGGCAGCCGCAGCTCCCGCCCACGCCAACCCACCGGCGCGGGGCTGCCGACACCGGCGGCGGCAGGGAGCGAGCAGCCGGCCCCGCCGCCGCCCCGCGCCCGGGCGGGTCGGTACCGGCGGCCGCCCCGCCCGCCCCCCGCCGCCGCTTACCCGCGTCCTGCGCGCCCCTCGCCGCCTTCGCCTTGCGCGGGGGCCGCGGCGGCAGCAGCTGCTGTGCGAGGTGGCGGAGCCGCCCCCAGTGCCCCTCCGCCCGGCACCGCTCGATCTCCGCCTCCAGCTTCACGTGCGAGTGCGAGGCCTTGGCCGCCATCTTAGCGCCGGGAAAGACCCGCCCCGCCCCGGCCCGCGGGGAGTCCCCGGCGGCGCCTCCCGAGCTCGGCGGCCGAGGCTGTGGATCCGCCAGGTGCTGGAGGGCGGGCGCGGCCGGGACGTGCTGTCCGAAGGCTGCGGTCGGAGACAGCGTATCAGCCATGGTCGCCACTCCCTGACGCCTCTCGCCTGATACCCGGGCACGGAGCCGCGTCCTGCCCCAGCGGCCGCTGTCCCGGCACCGCGGGTGTGGCCCCTCGTTCCCTTCCTGGGCGAGACCGGCCGGGAATGCCGTTCCCCCACCGCCGCCCTCAGAAGTCACCCGAAGCCCAGGGCTCTCCGCCGGTTGATCCCCACGGACACCGGTCCCCTCCAGCAGCCGCCCCCGCACGAGACCCGCGGGCGGTGCGTGAGTAACGGGCCAAAAGCCGCCCCGGGGCCCGGCTTTGCTCGAGGGCTGTGCCCTTGAGAGGCCGAAGCTGTGGTGTGTAGGTGTCGAGTATGGAAACAGCGGGACCCAGGGCGTGAGGGGAAGCACAGAGCACGGTCAGCAGTGGGCAGTGGGGACAGGGTACGGTAGTTCCCACTCGAGCAGCAGGGCAGGAACCATGGCAGTCCTTCACGGACGGGGCTGGAGGGAAGCACCCAAAGCAGGGGACTGCCCTAGCAGTGGGACACGTGCTGACCCTCAGTGCCAGCAGCTCCACCATTGCAGTCCTTCTAGGTTCTGCCCAGGGTATCACCAGTGAGATCTCTCCAATGTGTCCTCTGGGAAGGAGCTGTCTGCATCAAAGGCTGGGGTTGTGGAGACCCCACAGTGCCCAGAATGGGCCAGGTTGCAAGTGAGTCATCTGGTCCAAGCTCCCCTGCTCAGACAGGGTCATCCTAGAGCACATGGCACAGGACTGTGTCTAGGCAGCTTCTGAATATCTTCATTGATGGAGACTCCACAATGTCTCTGGACAATCTGCTCCTGTACTCAGTCACCTACACAGCAAATCTGTTCTTGGTCATGTTCAGGTAGAATTTTCTATGCATCAGTTTCTGCCTATTGCTTCCTGTCCTTTTCCTCAGCACCACTGAGTAGAGCCTGGCTATCCTCTTGGCACCCTCCCCCTTGTGTACACTATATAGATATATATAAACTTGTACACATTGATGAGCTCCCCTCTCAGTTGTCTCTTCTCGAGGCTGAAGGAGCCAAACTCCTCCAGCCTTTCCTGGTAAGAGAGATGTTCCAGTCCCTTAATAATCAGTTACCCTCCACTGGACCCACTCAGGAGCCCCACGTCTCTCTTGTACTGAGGAGCCCAGCACTGGACAGAGCACTCCAGATGTGCCTCACCAGAGCTGAGCAGAGGGGCAGGATCACTTTGACCTGCTGGCACTGCTCTTCCTAAAGCCCCACTCTACACGCTGCTGGCTCATGGGCGGCTGATCACCCACCTGGGCCCCGCCCCGCGGTGGGCGCGGCCCCGCCGCACCTGCGCCGCCGCGAGGGCTCCACGTGGAGCTCCGGGAGCGGTGACGTCGCCGGCGGGGCGGGGCGGGGCCGAGCGGATCGGCCAATGGGCGGCGGAGCGGGCGGGGCAGCGCCGGGTCAGGGGTGATCCCGGGATGGTGTCCCGGGAATGGTGGGCAGTCCGTGCCCAGCCCGGAGCCCGCGGCACGGCGGAGACCCGCCCGAGGGTACGTAGTCTGTGGCGGTGGGGCCTCTCCGCCCGCCCTGACAGCCGCCGTTGGAGTGGGGGCGCTGGGGCCTGGGCGGCGGGCCTAGCCCCAGCCCCATCCCGCTGCGGGGGCGCTTCCTCGGGGATCCAGCCGGGGATGGGAACCTGGCGGGTGCAAGCGGGGGTAGCTGCAGCTGGGGCCGGGAGAAGAACGGGAGCGGAAACCGCCAGCCCGCGCCGTGGCTGCCCTCGGCAGCGCGGCCGGCCCCTGTGCAGCTGTGTGCCCTGTCACCTGCCCGTGCAGCGCGCACATGCCCGGCTGCGTGACGGCTTCCCAGCTGTGCGCCCCTCAGGGAACACAGCCTTAACGGAGCTGCTCATTACATGGAGCCGCTTCCGTGCCCCGAGCGACCTTTGCTCCCACAGCTGTGGGGCAGGTCTGCCTGAGGCACAGGGCATGGCTGCTTGTTTGTCTGGAAGGTATATGAAAACCCAGGCACGGCTAAGGTGTGCACGTTAGCTATGAGGAAAAAAATATCTGAAAATTACTGCATAATTCAGTAAAATAGGGGCCCTCATAAAAACTCCTAATTGGAACTCTCTGGTTCTCTGCTTGCCAAGAGTTTCCAATGCAACAAGTTTTTCTATTCTGAAACTTAATGGGGTTGTTTAGCACTGTCTAAATCCGCTGAAAGTAGATCACATTTTTCATCTGTTTTTTGGGGGGGTATGTTTTCCTTTTTGCAGGAGATCACAATGCCCCAAAGGATGTTTAGAACACATTTGCTGTTCTGCTTTGCTATGGCTGCATTCTTCATCTCTGCCCTAGCTGAGGAACACGTAGGAGAGAGTCAACATCCAAATATTCGCCTTGATAAGAATTTGGTACAAGATAAAGAGTAAGTTTCCCATGTTCTAAAAGTGTAAATTTTACTTCTTAATTATTTTCTTATCTCTAAAGTGTTATGCGAGTTGGACTTAAGCCTAGAGCACCCTGTTTTTTCAGAATATTGTACGATTAGCTAAAGCCAGATATGAGACATGCTTGCTTGATACATTTGTAGAGATACGACACCTAGAAAGGCTTTCCCTGGAGCCTTTAGCCCAACTTGTGCTATAAAAAATTTCTTACAGAAATCCTGCCTACCCATATCAGCATACTTTAGACAAAATCTTATTCCTAATAGGTAGAATTTATTTTTTCATTTGCTTCTTCACAAATGTGGACCAGTTCTAGCAGCAAGTAAAACTTCTTAGAACAGTTCATGGTTGACTGGGAAAGATCTTCCTCCAGTTCCTGTGCTTGGAAGACAGCCAAAAAGAGATTTTGGGCTCTGCTTCAGTTGTTTTGATAGCCTGTTAAGTAGGCCAGAAGAAATAGAAATAGTTATCTAAGGCATTAGAGGCCTCTACAGCCTCTCTAACAAACAACCTTTGTGTCCCCTTTATCAAACTGTAGCTTTTAGTTGTCCAGGGTGCTTTTAGACATACAATATTTGATCAAAGACTAAATTTGCTGTAAACAGAGCATTAAATCTTAACTGATGGAAATGTTGTGGATTTTGTTTTTCTTAGACACATCATGGAACACCTGGAAGGTGTTATCGAGAAACCAGAATCTGAGATGTCTCCACAAGAGTTGCAGCTCCATTACTTCAAAATGCATGATTATGATGGCAATAATTTGCTAGATGGGTTAGAACTTGCTACTGCTATCTCACATGTCCACAAAGAGGTTGGTGTAGTTTTGTAAGGGCATATGTGCTTGGAAACAGTTCTGACTCTAAAAGCAGCAGAGCAGTTGCAACACATCCTCAGTGCAGTTACAGTTTTTCCTGAACATGAGAGTATTTTTCTCTTGATAGTTCTGGTTGAATTTATAAAAGATCACTGCTTTTCGTGTCACATTGCAGTTCTTAGGAAGTTTCCATTTTGGTTTAAACTCTAGAATCAGGAAGGGCTCCAGAGTGAAAATCATTTTACAGAGGACTTAGGCAGGTAGGGATGGGAGAAAGGGAAGTTATCCAAAATGAGGCATACGAATTTGTAGAAATATCATGATATGACACTCTTTTCAGCTTCAGACTGTTACTGCTGTTTGTACACAAACTATAAAAAACCTCTTGCACAAAATTTATACTAGAAGAACCTGCTATGGTCTGCCTCTTCCTACACTCAATTTCTCTTTCCAGTCATTAGGAACACAATAGAAACACATTATCTCATATTGACCTTCTGCAAGTTACAATTCAGAATAGCAAAACTTCCTGCTAATAACCTGTGGCAAAAAATAGTGAGCCAAGAACAGAATATGAGGGGCTGTTTCTTGTGCAAAGGCACCTCTTTGTGTTCCCATAAGGAGTGTTACTAAGTATTTTACTGAGTGTAAGCTACAGTGCTGATTTTTTTCACTTCTGTGTGACTGTAAGGTGTTTCTGTAGTGAATAGAAACTACAGTGTCTATACTACATCAAGATCCTAATTAAGAATACATTTATTAGATGATTGTCCATCATTATACATTGTGGTATTCAGCTTTTGGAACTTCTGACCAAGAATGTTGACTGCAGAATGCTTGTTCTGAATCCAAAGAACTTTGACTTCAAACCTTCCATCTGATGAAATTTGCTTACATTGTTATAAATGATTACATAAATCTTAGTGCCAAATTAGGCACCAAACATGAGCAGCTTTGTAAAAAATTAGTTGTCAGTAATCTGTCACACGTGCTACTAGATGAGAAAGACTGCTAAACTGTTCCCTGTGGTTTTGTTTTTGTAGGAAGGTGGTGAACATACCCAAGCAATGAAGGAAGAAGAGCTGATTAGTCTAATTGATGATGTCTTGAGAGATGATGACAAGAACAATGACGGATACATTGACTATGCAGAATTTGCAAAATCACTGGAATAAGGGTTTGTTTCTCCTTCTAACCACATGAAAATGTGAACCAGTATAATGTGATTCATTACTGTCTTGTATCAACCCCTGTGCTGTGAGAAGTAGAGGTGTTCCAGTTCCACCTAAATTTATTTGAAAGTTGTATGAGTCAAGAGTTTTGCTAACTTGGAGTGAGAGCCATGTTTGACTAAACATAATACAGATTTGAATTGTGAAGCATGGAAGTGCCAGCAGTACTCACACAGGGTACAGCTGGCAAACTCCTGAGTAGCTCTGTATGAATACTAAATAGAGTCATTAGCATCTAAATTTCAGGTTTTCAGTCATTGGGTTTTATAGTTCTTATTTGCTTACATCTTCTATTTAAAATTATACCTAGAAAGCAAGAAATGATTACTGCATAATAGTTCTATTCCATGGGGAAATGCCT